AGTGGTTGGAGATCCATCCACCATTGTTCCAGTCGAGACTATCGAGGTTAATGAAGAGTTGTCGTATGAAGAAGTTCCGGTTGCTATTCTTGATAGGCAAGTCCGTAAATTGAGAAACAAGGAAGTTGCCTCAGTTAAAGTATTATGGCGAAGTCAACGAGTTGAGGAAGCCACATGGGAAGCGGAAAAGGAAATGAAGGAAAAATATCCCCATCTGTTTGAGCAAGTCTAGTAGCAATCGTGCGAACTCTTATCCCTAAACAAATTGATATTGTGTCCAAATTGGTGCAAAGACACCCCATCTTTTCTTCCTAAATGTTTTACTATTGAAACCCCTCTAGTGGTGTAAGAATTGTTTGAGTTGTGATTGTTTAAGTCATGTGAACCTCTTTTTGGTAAATGAAAGTTTTATAAAAACTCATGTGATAAGTAAGCAACTAATGGTAGTGTAGATTGATAATGATTTATTTTATGTGCAAAATGTAGCAAGTGATTGAATATGTGCAATTGTTGAGGTAATGAATTGTATACTAGCTGTAGGGATAGTTGTAATTGTGTAATGGTACTTGGAATTGTGTTTCGGGGGCTCTCTGACAGGTAGATATGTCTAAATTACAAAGGAAACTCTGGCAAAATTTTTCAAAAATATGGGAGATAGTGAAAATTAGGAGTCTGCATATCATGTTTTCAAAAGACCAACTGATTTTCAAGATCCTCATTCGAGGACGAATGATTTTAAGTGGGGGAGGATGTAAGGCCCCGTAAATATTTGTGCTCAAAACCTGCTCGTAATGTTAGGTTCTGAATATGTGTTGGGAATGTGTGGAACTCTTCGTGCCAAGCTTGCGAGCCGCGGTTCGGACCCATTGTACTGATCTAAGTATTTAAAAATCAAAGAACCAAGTTTTTCCAGAAAAGTGCTATTTTGCGGTCCAGAATGCGGTCGCAAATCAAGTATGCGGACCGCATTTCGGCCGCATAATGAGTCAGTGGTTTGGTTAAAATTAAGGTCAAAATGCGGTCCATTATGCGACCGCATAACTAATATGCGGACCGCATTTCTATCGCAAAGTGAGTTAGTACGTCAGACAAATTTGAGGTCAAAAATGCGGTGCATTATGCGACCGCAAATTGGGTATGCAGACCGCATTTCCGCCGCAGACCCAAATAGTAGGATTGGATTTTTGGAGCACTTTTGTGGTCCATTTTGCGGACCGCATTTCATCTCTGTGGTCGCAAAGTGCGACCGCATATCTGACTCGGTACCTATTTTTCTAAATTTTAAACCCGACCCCCTTTTTAATAAAACACCCCAACCCCTCATTTTAACGAGTTTTCTAAACAAAATAAGAGAGAGGAAGAGAGGGTTCTTGAGAGAGAAAGTCTTCTTCATCAAATTTGATTCTTCAAAACTATCCGGGCCGGGAAATTTCAAAGTGATTATCTTCATCCCCATTCTTGCAGGTAAAATCCCTAACCCTTTTTCATTGATTTTCAGGTTTAAACTAAGAGGGGGGGGGGGGGGAGTCTCATGCATTGATTCTTGAAAATAATGGTTGAAAACATACATGCATGCCTTTTAAAACTTAAAATCTAGTAAGAGAAATTGGGTAGGAGTAAAGGATTGTACAAGAGGGGTTGATAACCTAAATAAGTTTGAGTAGCAATTGTGAACTTCAATTCTAAGTCATATGTGTTAACTTTTGCACTAGATTGACGTTGCTAGACTATTTGGTGAATTGAAAATAGGAGTTAAAAAGGGAATCCGGCTCCAGGTATGTATGGCTAACTTTGACCTTTGTAAAATCACCTTGTTTGGTGTACGAATATTTGGTATGTGATATCTACGTGGATTATGTTAGAAATTCTTGTGATTGGTATAATTTGAGTGTTCGTGGTTAAGTCTCCCGATGTAAGTAATTGGCAATAAACCAAATGGGTGATTGTGAAAGTGTTATGTGGTAAGAGCTGAGAAACAAATGATGGAAGAAGATCGTAAATGATGCAATTGGAACAACTGTGGTAATAACAGATATGGCTTGTCGTGGGCAATTATTGTTGTGACATAAAATGCATATGAGTTGTTGAATATGATGGAAATGGTATTGTTGGTTATGGAAATTCTTTGAGAATTGTTGTTGTTATTCCTTGTGAATTGTTGTTATAGTTCTTTAGAATTGTTGTTGTTGTTCTTTGTGAAGTGTTGCTGTTGTTGTGTTGTTTGTGAATTGTGATTGTTCGGCGGGATCGGGTTGCAGGCCGCAACACGAAGTAATAAGGTGTGGGTTGTGGTGCTAAGGGTGGCCGAGGTAATAAGGGTGGCCGAGGTAATAAGGGTGGAAAGTGATCGAAATCACTATTGAAATGAAAATATGAGAAAGTTGTGAAATCATTGATGTGAAAAATGTTGAAGGGGGGAATGGAGAGATTGTAAACTTGTTTGGCTTGATTGTTTCCTTTCATGTGTACTTGATTGTTGATTCCATAATTACTTGTTACTTGTGTATGGTTTGAGTTTACTTAGGGCAAAGTTTGTTCATACATACCAGTACAATTCAAATGTACTGACGTCCCTTTTGCCGGGGGCGCTACATTTGTGTTATGATTGTAGGTAGATCCATAGCAGGTACTCCAGTCCACCGACCGTACCTCCCCTTTACTTCCCGTCAGCTGAATTGGTGAGGCCTTTTCCTCTCGGGGCCCTGCGTGGCTCATGCCGCTTTTATTTCGGAGTCATGTTTTAATATTTGTGTAAGGTATAGCCGGAGCCTTGTTACCGGCAAGTATTGTATTATCCTTTTGTATCCTTAGAGGCTCCGTAGACAGTAAATGTGGGTTACGAACTTATGTAATATGTATTTTGTATGTTGGGCGATGTAAGTTGTAAACCACGCTAAGTAACCATGTTTGTTACTGTACATTTCGTAAAAAGGTGTTTTAATTATAATGACTATTTCTTTTGATTAATGAGTAATGAAAACACGGGGTAACACGTGGGATAAGAAAGGCACCCAGGTCCGCTTGACTGGGGCTACCCGGTCGAGCGCCGGTCATGTCCCTCGGTTTTGGGGCGTGGCAAATGTGGCATTAAAGGTGAGTGCAATGTTGGATACTTACGTGAGAGGCATGTGTTGATTAGGTTCACTTTATGGCAAGATTTTATTGATTTTTTGTCGAGATTTCAAAGATAAGTATGGGGAGGAGTATCAGTTGAGAAAGACCCAGAAGGGTGGCGTAAGAAGGAATTTTAATAAAATTCAAGCAGTAATGAAATGGCGAATAAACAGCAATTAGCACATTAGGTTCAAAAAGTACAGTAATATTAACAATAAATAAAGCCAAGCAAAATCAAATTAACAAGCTCGAATTCTTGAACCCTGAGCCAGAAGTTCTGGCTTCTTTTCCCCAGCAGAGTCGCCAGAGCTGTCGCACCTCCTTTTTTACTACCCAGGGAAGGGAGTATAAGGGAGTTTTTTCCAATTTAAGTGACAATCGAAACGGGATTATTTAAATTAAATTCAGAGTCGCCACTTGGGATAGTTAATGGTGTCCCAAGTCATCGGTTTAGAATCCTGAATCGAGAAGATTTGACTCTGTTTTAATGTCTGCGAAACACAGAAATTCGGGTAAGGAATTCTGTTAACCCGGGGGAAAGTGTTAGGCATTCCCGGGTTCCGTGGTTCTATCACGGTCGCTTTGATCATAATTGGATTAATCAAATTGTCTAATTACTTATTTTAAAACCTACGTGCATTTGCCTCTTTTAATTAAGAAATTATCTTAAAACAGGTCACGTGCACGTGTACCCGTTTGTTTGGCGCGTTAAAAATCATGTCACGCGAACGTGTCTACAATTAATAACGCTTTATTATAATTAAGAAAGTTTGGCCAAAGTTGCGCGAACGCATACTCCGGTTTTATTTTTAGAACCGTAATTATGTCACACGAACGTGTACACAACCACGATGGTGGATTAAACGTGACTAAAGCAAACTACGAATATCATTTTAATGTCTAAGTTATAAAATTAACACGAGGGCCATAGGGATTCAATTATGGATGGCACACCTCGGCCTAAAGAACTATATTTAATTAAAGAGGACTATACTAATAACATATTTATTTTGAGAAAGTTGGTCGAAGTTGCGCGAACGCATACTCCGAATTGTTTTTAGAATCGTAATCATGTCACGCGAACGTGTCCACAATCACGACGATATATTAAACGTGCCTAAAGCAAACTATAAATGCTTATGATTATTAACGGCATAAGTTTGCTCCAAGCTATCAAATTCATGAGAGTAAGAATAAGAGAGCAACAAAATTATCTAAGTCCAATTTCCTCACGTTTTGAGAGCTAACTCCCACAGATCCGGTATTGTGAAGCCTTAAACAATTACCTCTTAATAAAGTGATGAAACAGGGAATCAACTACTCAATTTTACCATCAGAACCCATCCAGAACAAATTTTCTCTAAGCAACGTGCAAACAGAATCATTAACAGAGCAGATATCATTTAGACAACCAAAAACAGAACAATGATATATAGTAACTCATACGATTAACGAACAGAGCCGCAATTAACCTCAATCAACGAACAGAACAATAAATTAACCGAATGACGAAGGTGCGAGGTTCAACAAATAAGACGTAGAAGGAAATGAGAAATCAACCTCAAACAAATCTGAAATTAATTGTGCAGCAGCTCTGAAACACAAGTGTTAGAACTGTGGATGGAAACTCGAATCAGCGCCGGAAAGCTCGACTCTGCGGCACCTCGACTCCTTATTCTCGATCCGTTCCCTACTCTATTTTTTATTGTTACTCAATCTGTTCTTTATTTTTTTTATATGTGTGTGTGTGTGTGTGTTTCTCATTCCTAGCAGTGAGGACAATGGGTGAGGATGATCTGCTTGATCTGGACTGAGGAGTGAGCATCGTGGCTGTTTTGTGTGGAGGAGATGGGTCGTGTGAGGTGAAGCTTTGCCGGAGATAGCAGATGCGTGGTGAACGGAGGTCCGGCGATGGACTTTTGGTGGTGATGGTGCAGCTGGTGGTCGACTGGTCAGTGTTCTGAAGCTTAGAGGTCTAGAAGAAACGGATTGTGGTCGTTTGGTTTGCGGCTGTTCATGGTTAAGCCATGTTAGGTTTAAGCTCCTAAGGTTTTTCTATGGCTGCTTCTTGGTATGTGAAGAAGATGGTGGTGTTTGGTTTTTCTTGGTTCCAGATGCAATGGTCCTAGCCTTTTTCAATGGTCAGCAATTGCCAAAGTGTGTTACACACACTAATCCGATACTTTTACCAAAGAAAAAGGAGGTGAATACTTTCTCTGATTTGCGACCAATTAGTCTCAGTAACTTCATTAACAAAATATTTTCGAGGGTGATTCATGAAAGATTGGTGGAGCTATTGCCTAATTTGATCTCAGAGGAACAATCAGGCTTTGTGAAGGGAAGGAGTATAGTTTAAAATGTGTTACTAACTAAGGAGATTATTACTTATATAAGGATCAGAACAAAAGCAGGTCCTAATATAGTAATCAAGCTAGATATGACAAAGGCCTATGACAGGCTTTCATGGCTATTTCTGTCCAAAATGCTGAGAAAGTTTGGCTTTTGTGAAAGGTTCATTGGGATGGTTTATGACTTGGTAGGGAATAACTGGTATTCTGTCCTTGTCAATGGGCAATCTCATGGCTTCTTCAAATCATCGAGGGATGTCAAGCAGGGAGATCCATTATCACCAACTCTATTTATTTTAGCTGCTTAAGCTCTGTTAAGAGGACTGAATTCACTGCACTTCAATCTATATTTCTGTGGATTTGGTCTTCCTAAATGGAGTTCTAAGATCAATCATTTGGCATATGCAGATGATACCATCATTTTTTCATCCTCAGATGCTACATCATTAAGGTTAGTGATGGAAATTCTACACTTGTATGAGGCTGCTTCTGGCCAGCTAGTAAGAAAAAGCAAGTCTGCCATTTACATGCACCATTTATTTGACTTGGAGGTAGTCAGGAAGGTGGAGAGGGTAACAGGGATTGGAAGGCAAGAATTTCCTTTCACATACCTAGGCTGTCCTATTTTTTATGCAAGAAGAAAGCTGGATTATTATCAGCCTATGATCAATAAGGTGCTTGATAAGCTGCAGGCTTGGAAGGGGAAATTACTATCCATAGGGGGCAGGGCAGTGCTGATTGCTAATGTCCTTCAGAGCATGCCAATACATCTGCTTTCAGCTGTAAATCCCCCTAACAATGTTATTAGCAGGCTACACAAAATCTTTGCTCAGTTCTTTTGGAGTAGCTCTGTTGGAGGATCAAGTAGACATTGGGCTTCATGGAACAATCTTTGTATGCCATGTGTGGAAGGAGGAATTGGATTCAGATCATTACATGATGTATCAAAGGCTCTCTTTTGCAAACTATGCTGGAACTTTAGGACTAAGCCTAGCCTTTGGAGTTCATTTGTGAGTCAAAAGTATTGCAAAAAACTTAATGCAATAGTTGTGCCTTGGAGGAATGGATCCCATGTGTGGAGGAAAATGTTAGAATGTAGGGAATTGATTGAGCATCAGATTTTTTGGAGAACAAAAATGGGATCTGCACTTTTCTGGTATGATAATTGGACTGGACTAGGAGCTTTGTATTTCTTAGTTCCTCCAGATTTTGGTGTGGATGAAGAAGTACACAATGTGTATGAATTGGTGAAGCAGGGATCTTCGAATGTAGGTAGATTGATGGAGCTGTTACCTGAAGAATTGGCATTGCATATAGTTGAAAATATTAGACCTCCTGTAATGGATAATGTCCTTGACACTCCAGTGTGGATGCTTGAAACTAAAGGCCATTTCTCTGTAAAGTCAGCATGGGAATATCTTAGAAGAAGGGATAATCCTAGACTAGCTTATAGGATGATTTGGGTACAAGGATTGCCATTCAAAATTTCCTTCTTTATGTGGAAAGTATGGAGAGCAAAACTGCCCCTTGATGATTTCATGCGTAGGTTGGGATATCACATGCCATCGAGGTGTTGGTGTTGTGCTGAGCCAAAGGAGGAAACTTTAGTGCACCTCTTCTTCACACCAAAAGCTGCAACAATGGTATGGAAGTACTTCCTAGCAAGAGCAGGTATTGCAGTCCAAGATCTGACGTTTCATCAAGCCATTACTAAATGCTGGACTGCCCAGGTACTGCCTAGACTCAAACCAATAATGCAGGCTCTTCCATCATGTATAGTTTGGGAATTATGGAAGAGAAGGAATAGTTTGAAATATGGTGATGCAGTTTTAGTTAGTAGAGTCATATACCAAGTATCAAATACACTAAGGGCCTTACTGCAACTTAGAAAACCAGGTATTCATGTGCCACATAAATGGCAGGATTTATTGAGCATGCTGCAAAACTATACTCCTCAATTGAAGTATGAGAAAGTACTATGGGAATTTCCTTTGGAAGGGTGGATTAAAGTTAATACTGATGGTGCTTCTAGAGGGAACCCGGGGAGGAGCTCGATTGGATTTTGTCTGAGGGATGAGCATGGAGATCGCAAATATGTAGAAGGAAGAGAGATTGCTGAGGGTTCCAATAATGAAGCAGAGGCAATAGCAATAGTTGAAGCACTGAGGATTTGCAGGGCACAACAGTATTCTCATGTATGTTTTCAAACAGATTCATTGTTGCTGAAGAACATAATAGAGGGGAATTGGAAACCACCTTGGTGCATCACTGATCAAGTGGAGGAGATCAAGAAGTTAATGGTGGAATTCAATATAAGGATATCACATATATATAGAGAGGGGAACAAATTGGCTGATCATTTGGCAAATTATGCACTTGATGTTGGAAACATAGAATGTTATGAGTTTTGGGATCTAGACTCTCAAAGCAGGAGGATATTGAATGGAGATAAGATGCAATGCCCATATTTGCGTGTAATGGTTGCAAGAAATTAGTATGAGGAGGACAGGAGATGAGGAAGGACATGACAAGGTCTCACCATGTTCAAATCTTTATAGAGAAGAACATGGTGATCAGTTTTTTCACTAACTTTGTGTTCTGTTTTGCAGGTACTGATTCTGTGCTATTGTTCTATTCTCTAATAGAAGTCCAATTGGTGGTATCAATGCTTGGCATTCAATCCAATGGACTGGCATTACAGATAGGCAATAGTACAGTAGTTGTCAAACTCAAAATGCAGGATCATTGCTGGAAACTAGGGCCCAGGGAGAAGTGGGAAACCTCAGACACAATTATTAGAAGAGGGGGTGGTAAATTAACCACTCAACTAAATCAAAAAAGAAAAGAGGAAGAAGTGATGCTCAGAAAGTTTAAGAGAAGTGGGCATCATGAGGTGGTGAATGCAGTATGCTGGAGTGTTGCATGGCAAGGAAGGTATTGGGGTGCAGGGAGTCAGGCAAATTATGGGGGAGTACAATATGAAATGAGTTTAGAAGGATTAGTGATAAGGGATCAAAGGCAGGGGGGGTACAATAGGAAATAGGCAAGGGATCTTTGCTGCAATGGGTGAACTTCTTAAAGCAAGGAATGGGGGTCACTATACTAAACTGGAATTGAGAGGAGATATGGAAGGGTAGACATGTAGAATGGGGTCTCATATCACACATTAACATTGGTAAAATAGATGGTGCAAATAGGGGAGAAGAGGGTACAAAGAGAAGGGCAAGGGAGGTAGTAAGGGAGCTAGTCTTGAAGCTGAATCAATACCATCGAATCCTAGAGGAGGAGATGATATGGATAACTTTTTCTACTAACCTTGTATTCTTTTTTGCAGGAGTTGTTACTGTACTCATGCCTTGCCTCCTATTACGACTTCAAAGGGTGGTATTAGCACTATGTGCTCATTCCCTAGAAGAAGGAAAAGAGGCATGCATAAGCATGAGAACTGGAATGTGGACAATGAGCAATTAGATGGGTAAAATGATGGTGCTTTGGTTTGAAACATCAATGCTGCAGGACATTTTTATCTGGGAGCCTTCAAGGAATACAGGGGTCTCAACAAGCCATCATGAGACTGTACATGAATTGGAGGTAATTGGAATGCACAATCTCACCTGCATCCCCATGCATGCAACAGGCTTTGGCCAACTTTACTGGGCTTTGTGGTTGCAATATGGAACAAAGGCCAAAAGCAAGCTTACAACACTACAACCCGAGGATCAAATTACACAAAGAGGCCAATCATAAAAAGAGTGATCATTCACGAAAATGGAGCTCAAATATTACCTAGTCGAGCTGAACTGGAAAGGGCAATTCACAGGGCAATGTTGGATACAATTTGTGGATAGTGATATACCACAATGGGCTGGGTTCAGAATACTTCATCATAGCAGGACATACCATAAAGGAATTCATGAGATGAAATCAACAAACAACAAGAAGACGTCAGGAAAAATTAAGAGCAAGAAGAAAGCAAGTGAGCAGATGAGGGCAAGAAATATGAAGATCCTGGACAACTGGTACAAGTGCATTTGTTACATGGAGAATAAAGGGAGCTATTTTTAGCAACTGGACAACAATAACGAATAAACAGCATCAAGATCGTAAGGGCAGTGATATCATGATCGTAGGAGCAGTGATCCGTGTACTTAAAGATATAGGTTCTTCTAGTTATAGTTTGATAGTCAGTTCATATCTTGTGATACCAATGTTGAGTTGTTTACTCAATATTGGTAATAGGTTTTATGTAGTTTACAAGTTTCATGCCTTTCATTTCATAAGACCTCCGGAAAAACTATGTTTGATTAATTTCTATATATATAAAACCCAACCCTAGGCAATATGCCTAGTGGATTGCTTAAAAAAAACACAGCGCTAACCGGGGTGTCACAAGTCAAGAGCATCTACTAGTCACATACAGTCTACTAAAGTCATAAACTACTACAAGTTGTTGTGAGAAATAGAAATGATAGAAGAGTAGAGACACGAGGGTGCGGACGTCAACAGCTACCTCGTAGTCTCCGAATAAGCCCACCTAGAACTGGAGGAATCAACACTCCGGAGCGGAACCAGCTACGCCTGAATCTGCACACAGGGTGCAGGGAGTAAAGTGAGTACTCCAACTCAGTGAGTAACGAATATAAATAATGACTGAAAGCAAGAAAACACGTAAAGCATGTGGCAGTCTATAATGAAGCAGTAAAATCAGTTAATTTCAGTAAAATCAATACATATCAAAGAAATGTTCTTTAAACCAGTAAAACAGGTAATGACAGTTAATTATGATAACGTAAACAAATAGGAATTTGCCCCTTGGGCACACTAACACCACATCCGCCCCTCGGGCAACATCTCACAACAGTAACAGCCCTCGGGCCTAAACTCACATCACAATGGGTACCCGCGCTCACTGGGGGTGTGCATACTCCTGGAGGGGCCCCTTACGGCCCAAGCGCAATAACAAGCCATCTCTTGGTATCAAATCTAGGCCCCCGGCCTCATATCAATC